AGGTTACCGATCAAGTAAACCAAAATCCGCCTGATCTGACTTGTAAGCAGGGGTGTAACTTTATGATATTGTCAGGGGGGGGCTCAGCAGTCAGCAGCAAAACTTCCCATGCATACTTTTGGGATGTCTACACCTATTAACTCACGGGCGTCGCCACGAGTTTTCGACAGGGGGACGGATCGGCCGACTAAAAACTTTAGGTATTGTTACCGTACTTTTTCAGGCCGATGCACTATCTGTCCAACGGTAATGGACCAAATTCCTACACAGTACAGTCTGAAGTCCGATTCAATTTGACACCGTTAAAGGCACTAGCCTTTTGTCTTCTACGAGGTATGAGATGACTGAAGTGTGCCACCAGTCTGATAGGTAATGCATACATACCTGCGTGTGAGGGTGCTTTATTAGTCACAACTCACGATATCTTTTTGACTCGAATATGAATTGGCGGCGCGAAGCGCCGCGAAAATTGGCAAAATCACTTGGCAAAACAGCTCTAAAACACATACATTCCCAGGGGGGGGGGGGGCTCAGTTCAGCACAGGGGGGCTCAAGCCCCCCCAAAGAGATATAAAGTTACGCCCCTGCTTGTAAGACGGCAGCCAGAGCCCAAAAAGTGAACAAGCCAAATATCGATAATTTTACTTTGACCTGACCTGTGACGTCATCGGTGACCTCGAGGTCAATGAAATTAGGTTTCGCTCGAAAGTTTTTCCGGGGGTATCAGACGCCGTTTGAATTTTGACGATCGGCCCAGTAGTTTCGGAGTTAGGAGGGGGCTATGAAGAGCCCCCCCCCCCCAGTAGGGCGTGTTATACGCAGACCCCAGTGGGGCGCGGGTTAAAGGAAAAGGGCCACCTTTAACATGAGGATTGAAACTGAGATAGCCATCTTGTAGCCCGTGTCCGAAAACCTATCTGTTTACCTCCTTACGGCCGATTTCGGCCTCCATTCGTAGTTATCGGCAATTTTAAAAGAAAATACGCCAGGAATGCGTCCTTATCCCAGGAATGCGTTCTTATCCGACAATACAGCCACCCGCGGCGAGGCTTTGGTTTTTTACCAATCAGCTCCAACCAGCTCAGCTTTAACCAATCAGCTTATCTGACACAATCCGACGAGTCTGTCTTCTGAACGCTGATTGGCTTGAGTATGACGTCATCGCTATGCCATCATACAGTAGGTGCCGTAGAGAGTATCAACATAGTACCAATATGTTAAATAGTTTTAAATACTTTTTCGCGAATTGTGCACTTCTGGCACCAGTTTTAAAAAGAAAATGAAAAATAATAATGTCAAAATGAAAAACAACGATATCTTCATATTTCACGAAGGTGGCCATGGTTCACAACTGAAAGTTTCTTTATAGCGCCTCCGATTTAGTGGCGCCTTACCAATGACCTCCGCGTCAGCTGAATGTTTACGTTTCAGTTTCAATGAGTCGCTCTCGGCACACGGATCGGCCACAGCGTCTCCATCGCAGTGTTCTAAAATTGGATTTTGGTTGGGTGTGACGATGATGACCAAAAAATCTAGGATGAGGAAAAAACAAGTGAAAACCTATATCACTTTCGCAATAAAGGCGTAACGCTACGCTGGCTGATAATAAAAGAACATACCATGCCTGACCACCAAAACTAACCGAAAAAGACGATGCAAATAGGTAAGGATGATATACGGCAGAATTATAACTTTAGCATCTGATCGCCAAGTGTTTCTAAATCCGTCCCATTTTATCCCAACCTTTGTGTTTGATTGAGACTAATGAAGTTAAGAATCACCCTTGTCTCTTATACAGCTAAGAATGAATACCTACTTCAACCAGTGAGATTTCATTTTCCTCACAAGTCAAAATGCATTGTCACAATTGAATGACTGTCCAGTGGCCATCCTTCTCCTAGCCTTAAATCAATGCCTTCCTTTCCGTTTCAGATGCAGACAGCAGATATTACCGTCAGCATTTGCTAAGTTCCTACTCATGCTTACTGGCACGGATCCAGGACGGTCCTTCTGCCTGTATATTTCTCCTAAAGAAGATCATCCGCGGACCTCCATCCTCGCGACGCCAGTCGCCATCATGCGAGCGAACTAGGTCTTTAAGAAGCAGAAGATGCAATGATTCTGTTGAAATCTGTTGTCATATCTTAAGGAGGGTGGGGGAGGGGCGGGTGAGGGAGCTCTCCCTATATGCAGGCTTTGGTACTAGTGCCATGTGGAGAAGTTTTCTTTCTTTTTTAAGCAAAGGAAGTGGGAAGGAACCTGTCGCCGTTGCAAAGGGTATCATTCTGTCGTCCTGTATTATTGATTTAGTGCAGTTGACTCAGACTGTGTAATGCGTGAGGCGTGGTCATCACTGTGACACTGTCAAATCTTAGGTAATCATGATACCCTGATGGGCAGTTTGTTGACGTAACTGATCACTATGAAACCAGAAACCGTATAACTCATGTGTTCTGGCCTCTGGGACGTTTTGCGCCTACAATATGGCAGCACCGCTTCCAAGATTACTGTATATTTGAGATAATATGCGGCAATATAAGTATGTAGTTTTCGTTCGCATCTGATCTGGTAATATTCGTACAGTGTACACAGTATAGCTTTGAGCTTTCCATTTTCAACAGATATGACAATGGCCGGATGATACTGGAAATGGTGCCTTTGCTCTGGGCATACGGAACGGGACGCAGTATTGAGTATGCAATTGCAGTCGCACTATGCAGCATGACATACGCCGGAAATCTCCCGGCCCGAACGCCGGAACGGCCAGCGATAGTCTGTACTCATTACGCATAGTGAAAATGGAAACGGTGTCAGCGCAACTTTTCGAAAGGAACGGTGCACTACATGAGACTAGACAAAGGGTCACTGATTAGGACACCCCAAACGGAACGATGTGCACTGCGCAGCATAATACGCAATATCGCAATAAAAAGCGTGCAACTAACCAGTAACCAGGGCATCCATATCGGAACGGAACGGGATGCAAAAAAAAAATGATAAAAGGATGCCACCGACCTCATGGCCGGCCACCGAAACGGAGCGGTAGCTTCGTATCATGTCACGTGATAAGTGCTGAGTGAGAGCGTCAATGATCAGTGATCAGTGATCAGAGCACCCGCAACAGAACGGAGGGCATCAGTGATCACTGATCAGAGCAACTGCAACGGAACGGAGGGCATCGCTGATCAGGACACCCCAAGCGGAAGGGAAAGCGAGAGCACAACTGACCAGAACACCCGAAACGGAACAGGAGTGAACGGAACGCATTAGCGGCTCGCCGAATCGCGATTCCGGCCAAACATGGCCTAAAGAAATAGGTCACAGGTCAAAGGTCATTTGGGTCAGGAATATGAGATTTTCAGAGTAGGTGTCAAATTAATTGACTCGAGGGTCCTGAAAGTTTCGTCGCGATCGGCCGCTTTTTACGCGAGTTATTCTCGAAAAAAACGAGGGGTGGTTCGTTCGACCCCCCCCCCCCTATACGGGCGAGGGATAATTTATTAAGAAGCTAGGGCCTTCTTAATCCCATCTATCAGCTTCAGAACATGTATTGGGCAGATTTGGGAATACCGTATCTTAAATTTATCCCTAGAGGTGTGCCAAGGTATCCTTTCATTCATCTTGGCTTTCCCTCGGCCGAACGCTTCGTGTTTAAAAACCTTTAGAAACTAATTGAAATGAATAATTGGCGGTAAGATTATTGCAAAGGCATGAGAAATTAACGTAAAATACATCATTACCGGTCTTATAACCTCATTTCGCGTATGAAACCTGCCAGAGTCCACAGAGTTTCATATTCATCCCTAGGGTGTGCCAGGGTGGCGTGTCAGTCATCTTGAACCCCTGCCCGACCCGACGCCTCGAGTTTTAAAGACATCTAAAAACTAATAACGTAAATAATTTGTGGTGAAATTGATATAATATGATCAGAAAAGAACGCAGAATAGACTAGTATCGGTCTCAAAACATTATTTTGCCTATGAAACCAGCCAGAGCTCGCGGAGTTTTAAATTCATCCCTAGGGTGTGCCCAGGGTGGCTTTTCTCATCTTGGACCTCTACCAGGCGCGACGCCTCGAGCTTTAAAGTCCTCTAGAAGCCATTGACGGACATAATTTGTGGCGAACTTAATGCGATAGGATCAGAAATAAACGCAGAATAAATTGGCATCGGTCTCAAAACATTATTTTACCTATGAAACCAGCCAGAGCCCGCGGAGTTTTAAATTCATCCCTAGGGTGTGCGCAGGGTGGCTTTTCTCATCATGGACCTCTGCCAGGCCCGACGCATCGAGCTTTAAAGTCCTCTAGAAGCCATTGACGGACATAATTTGTGGTGAAATTGATACAATAGGATCAGAAATGAATGTAGAATAAGTTGGTACCTGTCTCATACCCCTATTTTGTATACGAAAGAAGTTAGAGCCCACCAAGTTTTAAATTCATCCCTAGGGTGTGCCAGGGTGTGCCCAGCTGACTGCGGGTCCAAAGATGAAAATTTTGTAGGCGTATCCTGCGCAACTTAGTCAAAAGCGAATTGCATAGGTAGTGTTTAATTTGCGCAAGCAGCGGCTCATCCGTTTTGCGTTGGCAGCAAACCACTAATCATAGTTGTTATGAATATCCAAAAGCATTTATTCAGAACACAAACCTGGTTTTTACAAACAGTTGAGGTGATCAAGGTCATTCAACGCATATTTGTTATTAACAGCTGGAAGTGTGCAAGGTTATCTTCTTTCGTTGTCAGTCAGGGTGAGTTGTTGGGTTTGTGCCTTGATTTCGCATCTTTTTTTCATGGAAATTATGTATTATGTAGCAAACCTATAAGTTCTAACTGTCTATATGGCGCTGCTAGGTATATCTGGTAATCTGGCTGTTAATTGTTGAGCATGAGTTGAGCATTTTTCAAAGATGAAAGAATTCCAATTTACCTGGTTTTGGGGATGAAAATATTTTGCCCATTAGGTGTGATTTTCCACCCAAAATTCCGAAAAATGGAACACTGCTCCATCGATCCGATTTGTCTGCTTTGTAAGTATATGTTAGCACTAAGCGAAGCGAAGTAGAAAACACCCAGAAATGTGAGTTCAATACAGCCTCCGGTCGGAGACGCTGACGCAATCTAGCGCTTTCATTGAAGTTAATTACGGCTGATTAGTATCAAAACATATTTAATCAACTATCTAACATCTACACCAAGTTTACTGCAATACATATCTTACCTTGAAACACTGGAAAAATCGATGATCAAACACCGCCCTCACGGCATACAATAACCCGCGCCATTGCTGCACTATCGATTGAGGTCGGGCTGGTTGGTTGGTTTGGGTTAGGCACCAGTCAGTGGACCATGAACTAACCGGAACTCTCACGCTGTTCCGAGCGGCCAGGCAGCGGCAATACCAGTGCATTTTCCGGGAATCGAACCCGGAAGGCTGAATCTAGAGGCAAGGAACTTACTCCTATGACGATTGACGTCGGATTCATCCGCCCATTACATGCGGATGAACACTGTATTTGTTGGGACAGCTTATGTGCACTTAAAAATGACGTCATTACAAGGAAAGGAGCCAATGAGCGATGGATGGCAGGCCATGTGCATTGTGCACTTGCAATGACGTCATTACAAGGAAAGGAGCCAATGAACGGTGGCGTAAACGAAGCCATACCCAACTGGCATTGCCCGCTTAAAAATGACGTTATTACAAGAAAAGACGCAAACGAAGCAGATGTCAGTGTGCATTGTCTGTATCTATGCATAAAAGGTGTAAATCTGTATTTCAGGATTGGCGACGTGCTCTCCAACCACATACCACCAGCCACCTGGCTGCTGCCGGGTCGGCCTGAGTGACCTGAAGTTGCAGACTCCAGTCGGAAGGTGGCAGCACCATGCCAGGCGGGGCCGGACGGACGGGGTCGGACACTCCCCGGACCTCGCGGCGCACCCAGACCGACAGTCAGCACTCCGAGTCACCGCGCAGGACTCGGGGGGCTCCTCAGCACTCCGCCACTAACAGCACGCCCAGAACTCCTCGGAGTTCCGGCATCTCATGGAAGGCCGCTCGAAGAGGACGAGTCTCACGCGGTGTGCAAACCCCGAGGGCCTGGGTGGCCTCGCGCGCTCCCGGGTCAGCCGCTCAGGCCGCGGCGACTCCAAGAACATCGCGAAGATCCCGCTCTTCTGGGTACACGCGGCGACGAAAACCTCTTACCTTATCACGTGAATGTAAGATCTCCTTCTCCATCGACGGCCGTTGCCGAGTCGTATCAATTCTGAACCAGACGGACATTCTGGATGTCATCACAGAATTTCTGGATCTAATCGAGACAAACACAGAACATTTGAGAGATCTTGAGGAGTTTGTACGTCAACTGACAGAAAAGTATGACTTTTGGGTGGAAGAGAGCAAAGATGATCGGAGAACGGTGGCTTATAAAACATCCGTCAGAGTCGACCAGACAAGGGATGCAGCGCTGCGTCTCATCACACAAGGTAAGCCATTATTCTGGCTGAAAAAAATCGCACTGTGACACAACACACGAGTGCCGAACTGCCTACCTTGAGAATTTCTTTTTTTGGGGGGGGAGGGCGATCGATGAGCGGGGCCTATGGGCTAGTCTTGCACGTGTGGAAATGCGAAGTAAGACCTCCAACGGACTTGGGCGGGCCACCCTATTAACTGGTTCTTAACCGTACCAAAGGTGAGTGTAATCGGCCAAGCCGTTCTTGGAGATGCATAAGCGTTACCCTACCCTACACACGTGCGCACTGCGCACGTGCATACTGGACTCCAAAGTCCAAGTGACTACTTCGGTGTGCCGGGCACCCTTCTGATTGTTCTCATACGGCGTACACAATTTCCATGATAACGGAGCTTACGTCTATCGAAGAAAAAACAAGCTAAGAGAACTTGATATATACTTTCCTTGTTTTTAAGAATTCCGGAATTAGATACCCGAGGGAGCAAAGAGGGAGCAAGTTGCCACGCTGATTTGATACCTCATAGTCGAAAGGTGGGCTACTAGAACCGAAAATTGCTGTGTTTGTAAATAAATAAGTGATTTGAGGGCAAAGAATGCCCGGATTTAAACTTCTAAAATTATTTTGAACATAAAATATTTCAATCTGAGGGATGTTAAGGCCTCAAAGAGTAGGTACTTTTCAGGTATCAAATAGGTTCCTCTGCGAAAGTTCCGTCGTGAAAACGGCTATAGTGTAATAAATAACTACATGTGGTTAGGCCTAACCTTACCTACTTATGTGTGTGTTTTTGTTGCAGCTGGCATTCAGGTACAAACCAATTCTGAAGAAATTGGTCCTGTCGCTGATCGAAACATAACGAACCACCAGGAGATGGAATACGATCAGATCCAGAATGCGGAACAAAGCCAGAACCAGCAGCCCCTGGTCAACGCAAACCAGGAGCCCCAACTCAGACGGAACCAGCAGATAGAGCACAACCAGAGCCAGCAACCCCTGCTCATCGACTCAGAAACCGGCTCAGACGACTCAGCCCAGCTCGCCCAGAGTACCCAGACCGCGGGGCTTCCGGAGGAGAACCGGGAGTCTCAACAGAGAGAAGAGCTTCAGCACCCTCGGGCGCAGCGATCGGCAAGTTCAGACTCTGATGTCACATTTTATGACGGAGAAGCCGAGGTCTTGCCATATGCTGCTGAATCCATGGACACAGCATATACTGAAGAATCCGAGGCCTTATCACGTGCCGCTGAAGCTGATGTACCATCACCGGACGAAGACGATGCCGCAGGGACTGACGAAGACCAGGCACGAGGGATCGTGAGGGATTTCGAAAGCCTTGGGCCCCTCCTGGCTAGATTCGGCCACATGTATATGGCAGACCGTATGGCTATGATGGCCAACATCCAGGAGCTCAGAAGCGAGCTGGCGCAACTGCGTCGAATGCATGAATAACCAGAAATGTTAAAGGCAAAACATTATCCACGTGTTTTAACCCGCGCATGACTGGGGGGCTCTACGAAGCCCCCCTCCCGTTTTTCTGTGAAATCTTCTAAACCACTTAGCGTATCAACACGAAACTTGCAGTAACTTGAGTTGCATCAATTTGATACTTTGTGTCAAAATTAAAATTTCGTAGCTACTATAGATCGGCCCGAAATGACGTCAGAGTGACGTCATGTCGGCCGAATTTTGATGCAAAACATTGAGCTACGGCAATCGCTCTCAACTCTCAAGAGCTCAGTTTTTTTTAGCAAAATTCGATTTCTTTGCATGAGAGAACATCGGGCTATCAAACTGCTATCTCGGATTTTCAAAATTTTCATAATTTTAAAATGATGTATAATACCTAAATCTCAAAATTATATGTTTTATCTTTTTCGAGACGTTTTTAGCGTTTCGAAAAACGGAATATATGTGATAGAACACATGCAAATAATCTACTCCAGCAAGTTTTAGCCCGATATCTTCAAAAATAGCCAAGTTACACGCATTTTAGTCAACATTTCACCATTGACAATCTTTCACATCCATTTTTCAATAGGAGAGAGAGGTCATATTGCGCCATGTTCTTAAATGCGCCACACCTTCCTTCTGTCCAAAATTCGATTCGAATGAATGCTCGAATGTGTGCATTTACTTCACCACCAATAACTCGCTCTTATTCCGGTCCACGGGGGCAGGTGAGGTGTCTCAGCTTTCTCGCAGACCATTTTTTGTGATTTCCTCTATTTTCTTACGCGAAACAGTCTATTTCGACCTTTGCTAGTGTCATGGTTTATCTTAGAGATAGTGATTCAACTAATAATCATTGTTAATTGCTCGTTTAATGGTAGTTTTGAATGTTTATCACCACCGTGACTTCGCTGTCCTCGCCATATTTGAAGCTCATGAAAAATGTGTTCCATTCGTAATTGCGCCCACCCTATTTGCGCCCTATTCTTCAACCCAGAGAAACAGCATCTGGTGGTTGGGACACATTTCATTGAACACTTTGATTATTAGAGCGCTCACCTTACCATTACCTTAGCCTTCACAGCATAAATGGTTAATGTGCTGACACGTTCAAATAGGCTACTTAGTTAGGTGGCAGACCGTTGTTTTTAATAGGGCGCTTTTACATGAGAGGCATGGGCGCTTTTTGATGGGGTAGTCCGTAAATGCGCCCTTTGCAGGTGTGCCGGAAAACTTTTCCCTTGTTAATTTTTATGGGTGTGATACAAATTAGGAGTTGTAATTTGATGCCAAAATAACTGAGGTACAATTTGAGATATCATCAAGCATGACAGCTGGTCAACTTTAGCCGCAATAGGCCGATATCCTTAAGGTGGCGCAATATGACCTCTCTCCCCTACGTTGTTGACATCTTAGCTCAATCGCATTCCTGAGCTCAAACTGCATCTGCTAGACACCTTTTTTGTTGAAAAAATTTCAAATTTAAAAGTTGACCTTTTTTTACCTGAAAATGACCTGACCTCAGCTATTATCAGCTGAAGCCTGAAGATGACCTCAACTGACACAGACGACACTGTTTTCGTTATCTATGGCCGAAATGGACCATAAAACATGTGTCACGTGACCGATACCTACATGACATAAAATTTGGTGACCTAGGATGACCTAGCATTGGCCTAAAAAATTCAAACTACAAATTCAGTAACCTCATGGTATCTAAAGCATATGTCAAGGAGTGCGTAAAATAAAAATGAGCCTGATCGGGCTTTTTAGTCGGCGGCCAGAGCCTAAATGGTTAACCCGCGCACCGACGGGGGGCGGATATCCGCCCCCCCTGAGGTTTTTCGCGAATAGCGGGAAAACCGCGGCGCGTAGCGCCGCAAAATTTAGTATGATTATACCTTCATCAATTTTACACATGGTGTGCAAGTTTGAACCTCGTACCTTTTAAGGTCAGGTCACCAGGTCACTTTGAATGACACAACCTCAAGTCACTTTTTTGCAACTTTGTCACCGTGCCAGAGCTACAGTAGATGTCGGACGCCTTTGAAAGTCGCAGGATATTATTAGGTCATTGGTAGCTACAATTTGTATATCTCGGAATTTTGATATCGGTGACCTAAGGTCAGGTCAATTTCGCGACCTCCCCATTTGTATAAGTCAATAAGGGAAAAATCAACTCCCTGTTTTTACCACTAAAACGGGTCGGGATGGCCCCATATACCATACATGACTTCATATACGATCAACCTTCACTACATTGAGGTCCGTTTTGCTGTTGGGCAGCTGTGAGGTCATGTGACGTCATCAAAGGTCACCAGCGGTTTTTTGCCAATAACTCCGTACAGGAACAAGATACAGCCGCGCGGATGGTCTCATTATGTTCAGCTCGTCAAGACGCATCGAATGATATACATGATGACCTCGAGGTCACGTGACCTGAGGTCAACCTTTGACCTTGACCTTTCAAGGTCAACATATATATCATTCGATGCGGATTGACGAGAGGATCACGATGATGCCCTTAGTTTGCTCCTATCTTGACTAATTCGAAAGTTATTCGAGAAAAACTCTCTCCATATCAAGCGCCGCCATTTTGACTTTTTCGACCCCTGTGACGTCATCTTTGACCTGACCTGAAAATGACCTTTTTAAAAATTGTAGATCTTGACCGTGCGTATCCGATGCCGTTTACCGCTTGTCGCTATCTTGCTTCGTTCTCGAGATCTCAGGGGGGGGCGGTCATCCGCCCCCCCCCCCCCCCCCCGTCGCACACTGGTCGGAAACGCCCTCACGAGAGGCCACGGGCGATTCCGGAGTTTCGGATTATTTTTTATATAGATCGATTTGAAATTGATCAAATTATTATACTTAGGTCAAAAAACTAATCCGGGTGACCAAAAATAACTGTAATCAGCCCCCGAAGATGGGGTATCCCAGAACTCGGAAACTGACGCGGAGCAGGAGGTTTCTTGAGCCGGATATTCAGAGTCTTATTGCTGATAGACACCAAATTGAAATCCCACATATTATGCATCAAAATGTTCGTTATGAAGTTGCCGACTGGTCAGTGCAAAATTTTTGGCATATTAAATCCCTAACTAAGATGTACTATAGCTTTTTTATGAAGGCTCTCCTACAGTGATTCTGGAATATAACTGCAAAGTTTAGGTAAGGAAACAACAGGTAGTCCCATCTAGTTCCACTCTGATTTTTTGTGAGATGAAGTAGGATTTAAATTCACACCAGGGCAACATAAAAGCTAACTGCGCATATTTGCGCAAAATTTGCAGGAGCCGCTCTTCCTACCCAACTACCGCCCGCCCCGCCCCAGTTTCGGCTCGGCCGCCGCGCCCGGCTTACGCTGACCTGTGTGGCCTGCACGCATCCATGCGTAGTTGACTGGTCATTAAAAACAGATGCGCTTGAGTTTATGAATTTTGTGAAAAGCGCGTTTTATGTATGCATTTATGTATGTATTGACATCAAAAGCCTTCCACATATTGCGTGGCGATTACGGCTTGCATTTAGAGAGCCTTGCTATTGACAACCATCACTCGGCTGAAGAAAGTGGAAATTGAAACCTTCGTGAATATAAGACGCTGCAAATATAGGACACCTGTCACTGACGTCAGGTTACCTTGGGTCGTCTTTAGTTACATTAGATTACAATTCCGGTATTTAACCCTGGCCGGACCGATTGGTTTTCTATATTGACCGGGGAGGGTTGGTACAACTCCCTCGCCGTTTCGCCTCTAATTGAGCTAGAGCCTCGCGGAAAAAAGCTTGTGTGCCGTTATAAGACGCAAAAATCAGGTACTACCCGATTTTAAGGTCTTAGGTCAGCCAGTGACCTCTTAGGTCACGTAAGTGCCACAAGGCACGAGTTCGGTTTTAGGTTAATTACTTTACCAAAAAATGGTCGCACTGCCGCGATTTTGGCATCATCGTGTTTGTCTAGCTCAGGCGCGTTGAATGCTATACTTGGTGTTCGGGTGAACTCAACTTAAGGTGTTAACCTCGGGTCAAGGTCAGGTCGGAGCCCCTCAGGTCACGAAAATGGTTGAATGAGGTCATATTGCATATCATTCGATTCGGCAGGTCTTCCTGAGTCCAATGGTGGCTTTCCCGACTCTCTAGCTCCATCTGATCAGGAGTTATTGACGAAAAACTTATATGGCCTTAGTGACGTCATAAATGACGTCACGCAAAGTCAACAATGCTTAAGTCAAGCACTGGACCTTGCAAGAAGTGCATGAAACCATTCCCGGTGCCCGAATAGCAGCTCCCAATTTCCCTTGTTGACTTAAAGTGGTGTTAGATCCTGTATTATACTCAATTATGACGTCATAACTTAACAGATGCACGTCATATATTTAGTGCTTGACATCCAAATGATAGCTTACATATGACAGAGAAGGTATGCAAAGTTTTATGAAGTTTGCTTGACTAGTTGTGGAATAACAAGCAAAAAACTTTTGCGGGAAGGCCGCTGGCCTCTCGCTGGAGCGTTTCCGACCAGTGTGCGTCGGTGCGAAGTTGGCGCAGACCCCCGTCGGTGCGCGGGTTAACAAGCCAAAATGCTAATAAGTTTTATGTTGACCTGACCTGTGACGTCATCGGTGACCTCGAGGTCAATGAAATTAGGTTTCGGACCACAGTTTTTCCAGGGCTATCAGACACTGTTTGAATTTTGACGATCGGCCCAGTAGTTTCGGAGATAGCAGTAGGGGGCGGGGGGCTCTGTAGAGCCCCCCCCCCTCCCCCAGTCACTCGCGTTATGGAAAATACCCAAATCATGCGCGGGTTAATGAAGAGTACAGGGGTGATTATTGCTAATGAAGTCCAATCATGCATAACGGGAGTGGGATGTACAGTCCACAGCAGCAGTAATGTGGGGTTTCAGTCATGGGTATGTTCTGCTTCTAAAGCTTAGGGACGATTAGCCAGACTACAATGAAACTTTGAATGTAGCTTATATGTATCGTCACCCTTGCAGCTGCAACTTTAGCTATTGACATCTTTTCGATCACTCCGCATTAAACAATCGCCAGTCAAAGCCAACCGTTGAGATTGGTAAAACCCTACATTACTTTAGCGGTGGGCTGTACCAAATAACAATCTGCTCTGCTTACCTATAGATTGTCTCGATAGTGGCATGCTCCGAAAGATATTTGTCATCTAGTTGATAACAACCACTTCATACACGAATATGCTGGAAATCAAGTCGGAACAATGCGATGACCCTTCCGGCTGTTGCCAGCGCCTCGATATGATTGCATAAGTTTAGAGTTTGTGTTACAAACTGTGCAATGTGCATCCGTGTCAGTTGCTTCGGTAGGTGTTAAGAAGCTCGGTGTCTATTTTCACCAGACAAGATCCGCCATCTGTTATGTAGAGGTTATAGGTTCAAGGCTGGTCAGCTTAGGTCAGGTCAGGTTAGTGGAGATTTTTAGCAATGCGCCGTTCTTTTGTCCCTACCTACGTACGTCATCGCTTACGTCCGAAACCCTCTGCCTCTTGCTCTGCTAGATTTTCTGACATCCATATTTCCAGTCTCTTGCTGAGACTGGCAGCGTCATTTAGGCGCCAGACAGCGTCGTCACATGTTAGCATGTGGTATGACTGCAGTGGTAACTGGACCTGGGTCTGTGGTTGTTTTCTGGCAAACAAAAAAAAAATAAAAAATATCTAGTATGTGGTCGCATAGCGAACGAAGATCGGCAGCCGGGGCACACCAAGCTCTCCCAGCGATTGGCGTGACACCTAGACATTGCCAGCGATTGGGGCGATTCGCAAACAAAATGTCTACCCCTACGTAGTACGCATCGCAAAAAAGGTAGGACAAAAGTACTACGTAGGTACATACCTACACAGATGTTTGTACACAAAAGTACGGTATAAAGCAAGTACACAAAAAAGATAAAGCAAGTAAGAATAACAGTGCGTGTCGCTAAAAAGCAACCTAACCTGACCTGACCTGAGCTGGCCTAGCCAAACCAAACCTAGCCTAACTCAACCAAGCCAAATTCAATCTAGCACAGCCTAACCCAACTTAGCTCATGGTATTGTCCATACCATACGCACTTTATACAAGGCCACGATTTGTGTGTATGCCGTTGCACGCATAAATAAATAAATAAATAAATAAATTAATAAATAAATACTTTAAACAAATTAGTGACAAGTACCTTAAAATTGGCCTCAGTACTTTTGCTGACGCATATTTTCCATGCGCACTCTTGCGGTACGCCTACTTTAGCCCGCAATGCGCTTAGCGCGACGTCTAGCCCTTATTCGTTTGTTTTGCTGGGTTAGGCCCTTTCGGTCTGATGAGACCATTTCAGAGCCGGAACCGGAAGGATGATAGGAATTAGGGGGAGACATTGGTCTGGGCTAGCACCCTAATGAGTCGCCGGGGCTGAGCCCATCCCATAGGACAGGCCAACCATCCCCAAGGCACTCACTGCACCCGGCTACGGGCGTGCTCGGCGTACGGGCAATCCCGCATGAGATAAAGTTGCCCGTCCAACCCGGATCAGGGGGTTGAGGCGACGAGGCATGGAGGAGAACGACTTGACTATCCTGAGGATGGAAACGACGGAACGGTGTCTAGCCCCTACTGGCGGTTGGGGCGACATCTAGCCATTCCCAGCGTACAGCGATCGGAGTGACATCTTGTCACTGCTGTCGATTAGGGCGACATCTAGCTCAGATGACCGAGTCGAGCGCTCCATCAAGAAGATTCATAAACGTCAAGCTTGAAGACAATTGTTTGGCTTTTAAGTCATAATAGTCCGTCGTATTTGCGCATTAGTAACATTTTGAAAATATTTGGTGATGTGGACTACCGCTATCGCCTATCGTCATGCAAAGATCTCAACTACCTGCATAAATGTGAGATGCTCTGAAGTAGGTATCGATAGTCGATAGCCTAGTTGACTGGAAACCAAAGCACCAGTTCACTTTATTCCACGCGAATTACGAATTTGCAGCACAATTTCAGCGAGATGGTAAATCCCTTCAAGCACCAATTCGCCCACTCCGTGCTAAATTGTGGATTTGGAGCGCGAGTTCGGACACCTAGCGCGTGCCTGGGAGTGGGACGGGCGGAGGCACTCCGCCTTGCGTGCACGGGCGGCGCCAGGAAGGGACTGCAGGGTAGGTCACCGAAGCTTGGACAGCAACTACCGAAACAGCAGCGAAACAAATTATCATGACACGCTATGTAATAAGAATGGTTCATTTTGAACAAACGAGTCCGGAGTTCACGCAAAACTTCACGAGGATTCATGCATATGTATAGTGACAGGGTCACAGGGTAGCGAGCAACAACTTCATATCCAGTCCCAACTCCCTCCCTCAAAGCCTGGATGCCCTCCCTGACACCCTCCCTGGAGCCGCCGCTGCTCGGGCGGCCGCCCGCGCGCGGACGGCGCCCGAGCCCCGGCGGCCCCGCCCCTCCCCGATTTGGAACGATCGATGGAGCTGCGGCGGCGGCGGCTCGCGAGTCGCGGAGAGCAGGGCGAGAGAGGTGGGGTGCGCGCGGAGGTGCGTCGCGGATCTACACCCTCTGAAACACCGACCGACGTCGCTCACTGTGAACCTCGTGACGTCAATCAAGGCTGGCCAGTGGAGCACACCACCGTGTTGGCCATGCCGTGTCTCCTGTGAGCAGGCAGAGCCGCGCGCTCGGGCGCGGCGCCCCGGCCCGCCGCCGCTCAGTCGGCGATGCTAAGGCGCGTCATGGGCGCCGGAATGGGAAAGGGCCACGCTCTGTTGGAGGCGCTTCCTTCCACGCAGACACTACACGTCGTCATGCTGGGGCTCGACTCCGCCGGCAAGACGACGGCGCTGTACCGGCTCAAGTTCGACCAGTACCTCAACACCGTCCCCACGATCGGCTTCAACTGCGAGAAGGTGCGTGCTCAGGGCGGCAAGGCCAAGGGAGTGAGTTTCCTAGTGTGGGATGTCGGCGGCCAGGAGCGACTGCGGCCACTGTGGCGCAGCTACACGCGCTGTACGGACGGCATTGTGTTCGTAGTGGACTCTGTGGATGCTGAGCGCCTCGAGGAGGCCAAAATGGAGCTGCTGCGCTCTGCCAAGAGTCCGGAGAACGCCGGCGTGCCCGTGCTCGTGTTGGCCAACAAGCAGGATCTGCCGGGCGCCAAGCCGCCGGACGAGATCGAGCGCCTGCTGGGACTGGCCGAGCTCGGTCCCAATCAGCTGTGGCACGTGCAGCCGGCGTGCGCCATCATCGGCGAGGGCCTCGACGAGGGTCTCGAGGCGCTCTACGAGATGATTCTCAAGCGACGGAAGCAGACCAAAGGCAAAAAGAAGGCCAAGTAGTGTGGTGTGTGCGCGAGTGAGAGCTATCCGCGTGTGTGAGATATGTGTGAGAGCGGAGCCCGGACGACGTGAGAGACTGGCGAGCGGGTGAGCTGTGGAGAACGAGAGTGAGATACGGTGAGAGCGCGATCGGCGAGTGAGAGATCGCGATTCTCGGGTGTGAAGCGTGCTGGGCCGGGCGACGAAGTTTTGGCGTGAGGAGCGCTTCGCGAAGTGGGCTCATCCTACAGCAATGCAGAGGCACACCAAGTCTCAGGCAGCGAAGCGGGCCGCAGTGCTTCGCGTCAGGCCGAAGCGGTCGCAAAGCGGAAGCGAGCCGAGAGGCCACTTACCTGTGATATATACGAAGCCGCGTCTATCAATTTCGCGAGTCCATAATTGTCCCACATATATTTATTTGTGTTGAATCGGGGATTCCCGTATGTAATCATGTTGGATTAGTGCAATTACATGTTTGCGTCGTCGACAATGCTCTGTTTGCGCCGGAACGGCGGCGAATGATGAACGGGTAGGGACAGGCACTGCTAGTTCCACGAGCTGGGCGAGATCGCCACCCCTCTATCACGAACACAGCACACCGACAGTGCGACCAGGAAAACGGTGACCGTGGCTGGTTCCGCTGCTCGGTACAGCGGTACCTCACGACCGGTATACCTCCCTCGTTCACCCCCCCCCCTCTCCGTCCCCCCGCCGCGCCACCGCCTGTTACGTGACCGGGACTCGTCTTCGTGACTGTCGACGATTTCGTGACCCTGTCGCCCAGCCGTGACCCGGTCAGACGCGGCGGCAGTCAGCTGTTGCTCGTCAGTCAGCTGGTGGAGGGGGGGGGGACTGTCGTGAGGTGACCGGCCGACCGCCGTCGTCGCCAGCACCACCGCCGCTGCCAGGTCCACCGCCGCGACCTGCAGCACCATGGAGGCGGCGACGGCGGCGGCAGCTGCTCTGAAGGAATGCGGGTCTGGGGACTGGCAGTGTTTGCCATTTGTCAGCCCAGTGAGGGCTCATTTATTGATCGACTGAGTGCAGAGCCCACGATGCTGACCAACACTCTGATGGGGTGTTGGCCGCGTGCACTCAAAGTAGCTACGAGTTAACTATCCTAGCCTGCGGCTATAATTGATCGATAAGTTTACGTTATAGATTCCCTCTCAAAACTTTACCTAATGACCATTGTGTTGAACAAAACATCCCATATCGTTTGTTACCCAGAGCGCAACCAGGAACTTTACCTACCATAAGGCCGCTCTATTTCTGCTTCGAATCACTCTTTGCCGCGCACCCACCGTGTTGTCCTTGGAACCACCTCCTCAACTTCGCGCCACGTGACCTCGCAACTGGAGCGACCTGAATTCCGCGGTGTGCGAGCGGCCGCCCGGCCACGGAGCGAGTGTGAGCCTCGCGAAATTCGCGCGCACGCCTGTCAGCTGTGTGATGATTCGTTCAGCGGACCTGATCGTCCGCTGTGCGGCGGACAATCGGCGCTGGGCCGGCGCCGGCACCGTTAGGAGGGCGCCGCTCGCGGGCCGGAGCGGCACGGTAAATCATCGCGGCGGGCCCGACCGTAGTCGGCTGCTTCAGGGAACGGCTGGCTCGCCCAGTCAGCGGCAGTCTAGACGAGTGTAAACAGATGGGGATGGTTGGAATAGATTGGACGGGTCGGTTGGAAAACTGTGCTGGGCCATGATTGTGTGATAAAAGTATCAGCATTAGCCGAGTTCCAGAAGATCCAGCAATGTCAAGGTTCGTTGACATGAATTAACAACGAATACCTAACAATTATCTATAAAGTCAAGTCAATGAAAATTGTTAAGTGTTATTTTTATAATTATAATTTTAGAATTTTAGAATTTAGGTGTTTGGTGTGCCAGAACTGTAAAGCATACGCTGACGCTAAATAGGTATCACCAAAGTCCAAAACTAACATGAGTCAACTTATAGCACCAAATCACCACCGGCAGCAGCAGTGGGCGAGTCTGCCACTGTTTGCTTCCACCGGATGTGGCCCACTTCCGGTTGGTTCGGCATGGCCAGCCTTACCGTGCAGTGGCGGGCAGCGGAGCGCGAGAGGTCAGCCAGCCCCGGCGAAAAACTGGCTTTGCCCTCCCTGCACACACACAGCGGGCATCAGTCACTCAGTGATTCTCCGGCACTGGGGTAAGTGCCAGTAATTTATTTAGGGGTGCAGTAGCAGACCCAAAGGGGGCGATTGGGTAGTTACCCCTAAGGCAGTGTCCGAAATAGATGAACTTTCGTCGTTTTAAAAGAAGATCCAGATTTTTCCTGCAGCGATAATCGACACACGGATTCCGACGATGCGTGCAGCTTTGAATTCCAGTTGCTGGTAGCCGCTTCTTCAAAATTTCCATAACCACTTCTTCTCCACGTATCAATTCTTATATCTCGTCCGTTTCCACCCATCCCTCCTCCCCGCTCCTCGCACGTGCAGCGCACACACGCGCACCAAGCTGAGGTGACCCGCAGGTAAGTAAGTACCGTTGTGTGAATTTCGACAACGGTCCGCCCGGTCCACGCCGTGCCATTGTCGCATTGACGCACCTCCCTGTCAGCTGACTGATAAGGAACTGGTCTGACGGGCTGACAGTGACGTCGACAGCGCCGAAAAGGAGAGAAAAGACCAGAGACTTTGCGCGGAAATCAGATGCAAATCAGCTGCGAACACGTGTTACCGGGCAGGGATTTGGGAATGAGAGCGCTGACGTAGTGAACCAGCTGATATATGTATAACTAGAGACACTTTATTTCGCCTCATGTAAAACAGTAAAACGGTAAAATGCACGTCTCTCCCAGCTAGAATTAGATATCTACTGATATCGAATACAGCCGAAGACGTCCGTCCTATTCAAAAATTGGCGAAGTAGCGCGACGTAGCTTTACATTAAACTCCGATCGACTGCGACTCTGAAGACCAAATGGCCTTTTGTCGATGAATCGCCCATCTAGCAGTTTACGAGTCTCTCGTGCCGCGTTCAGGCCCAATACGAAGCAATACAACGTCGGCTAAGTCTGAAAGACCATTCTCCTATATTTCCGGATCGCTTTTTTCCGGCACGAGTTGATGGGATCGCTTTGAATGATCCCACCAACTCAATAGGTCTCATATATGATGGTCAGCCAAGAAGTAACAGGGGCGCTGAAAGCAGGAGGACTTCTTTGCCATTCATTCATGTATCATGTAAACAACAATCACGAATGCCGGTTGGCCCTGGTGATGTTAAATCTGGTTCACACATCATGCACGCATCAGTATCGCACATACACACAAGTACATACCTATTACCTACTCACATTACTACTCATTTTAGATCGATTCATTCTGCATTACTCTTAAGCAATTTCAATTACAATCACGTTTACGCCGAATTTACATGTGTTTGAACGTTTTTCCGAAACTCTTCCAACTCTGTTTTCAACGGGTTTTCAGACTTCTTTGCGTGCTCAACCCTTGGAGAACGGAGAATAATGAGAACTTAGAGAGGAATCGGGGTATCGTTCATAATAGAGCGGTCAGCGTCCAGAAGCCTTTCCAGACATGGCGCAAATTTTAACCCGGCCGGGCCCAGGGGGTAATCCCAACCACCGCAGCCCGGGCCCTGTCTAACTCCGTAAATAAGGGAGCTACGGAAACAAAAGCGATACCAAACGAAAGGTCCTTACGAGACGATTCTAATGCACCTAAAATTTTTGACCTCAGGTCAATTTTCAAGGTCAGAGGTCAAGGTCAAAGGCCAAAACCGGCACATGTGTAGTGATCTCAAAGTAAGCCTTCTAGAGGACGGCAGGCTGCATCAAACCGGCAAAATTGGGTGTCAAACGAAAGAAGAGAATCTGAGGATTCTGAAAATGTGCACCAAATCAAAGGTCAAGGTCAAGGTCACGCTCAAAATTGACCTCAAACTTGGCACTTTTTCGCACATCTTGCGTGCTAACTTCCAAGATGTTTTGAAATGTTTTGAGGCTTATCAGTTCCCTATTTGTGGTTCATCTTACGATACAAGGCTGCTCAAAGGTCAAGGTCACAGAAGAGTATCCCTGCTAGAGGCTATTTCACTGATTCAAGTTAGTAATAATAAATAAGACAATTTTGCCATCCGGAAGCTCTAAATGAAGGCTTAGAGGAAAATAGATGCCAGATTCGTGATCAGCGGGTACAAATCCATCATAAACGACCTTTCATGTGTCAAGGTCAACCAGAGGTCATTCGAGGTCACATGAGGTCAACATGAAACTTGACCTTTTCCGAACAAAATACATATCATTCGACGCGGCTTGACAAGGCGAATGCGATGGTACCACTGCCGTAGCTCTAGGACCATTTTTGTCGAAGTTATTTGCGAAAAACTAAAACCACATTTCGGGGTCGTTGACCTGACCTCTGACCTCAGGTCACCAAAACTATTTTTCTATTTTTCTCTAGGTCAAACGCTACACAGCCGTGCTCGTAATTTGTCTTTATCTCTAAAACTCTATTTTTAGCAGCTATTTGAAGTTTGCGTCTGTGACGCCGAAGTTTGCCGTGCAGGGGTCTAGAAAAATGGACCTTGTGACGTCATCAAGGGGGCTAGGTCCAATTTTTTTACTACAGAAGATGTCAAATTGATGGGAGAAAAGGTACTGAAAGTTTCGCCTTCCTATCCCTAAGCGTTCGGGAGTTATCGCAAATATTCGCCAGGGGGGCGAAAAACGCCCCCCGGGCCCGCGAGGGTTAACCCTCGCCCGTATGGGGGGGTCGAACGGACCCCCCATGGTTTTTCGCGAATAACTCGCGTAAAAAGCGGCCGATCGCAACGAAACTTTCAGTACCCTCGCGTTGATCAATTTTACACCCACCCTGAAAATTTCATGACCCTGACCCCAATGACCTTTGACCTGTGACCTACTTTTCGAGACCATGTTTGGCCGGAATCGCGATTCGGCGTATGTCGGCTCGCATTAGCCGCGCGTTTGCAGTCTTTTCGTGGTTTCAAGCGTTCAAACATGTGATATGATGTTGCCCCCATGCATTAGGGTGGGTGTCAAGGTCATCTGAAGGTCAGGTCAGGTCATTGACCTTTGGTGACCTCGGTTCACTTTTTCGAGTTTTACATGTTTCTAGGCCAGTTTTTTTAGCTGAATTCGAATTTAGTAACCATATGAACGTTTACGAAGTACTTTTGGTACCTTCGTAACATGTTACGAAGCTGTCAGAGGCGGTTGACACCTACTAGGAATACCCGGCAGGACCCCTACTGGTTGACCTGACCTGACCTGACCCGACCTGGACTAAATGCATAAAGACATCATCTGTGATCAAAACTAACATGATATTCGTGATCGGCACCCCGAAAACCCCCATAGCAGCCACACTTTACGACGTTTTAACAGGTCCCGATTTTCCCGACTTTTGGGTCATTGACCTGACCTGCAAGGTCAACCAATGACCTAGGACCTTAAAATTGGGTATCATCGGCT